GTACATACGCTGTACAACATACGCTGACTGCCACATGACTGTACTGGTTTATGATTGTATTACATGCCTTGTAGTACCAAGAGTACATAACCCCCCAGAGTGTGCAACGCCTGATCCAGCTCTGTATAGGGTCTTGGTCGAGCGGAATCGGATCTTTGCGTCATAATACCGTACACATATGAGGGGAACCCGGGGAGTCGCGGGTACTCTTGGATCAAAAACAATGGTGCCCTGCCTCGAGACCGGCCTTGCGCTGGTGTGAAGTGTACGCATGACATCAGAAGATCCGATTCCGCTCGACCAAGACCCTACGAGGTGATTTGTAAAAATTTTACATGGCATATTATTTTACAAATCAAGTAAAATATCACTGTTGAGGACGATTGCATTCTTCCCATGAAGTGTTTTTGTTAGTTCGACAGACAAGTGAGTTGCCATTGTAATGTAGTTTGTAAGCATCAGCAGCGTTTAGCGGAATTGTTTTCTTCCACGGCCTTGTGAGATGTCAATCATGGATCGAAATTCGTGAATTTGTGGTCAATGAGGTAAAATATCCCTCAATGGATGCTTGAAGAACGTCCAAGAGCCAGCGAGCATATTCTACGGCAGGTGGAAACCCTAGGCTGGTCACCAATGCCAGCATTGAGTCTGTCACACCGTCAAAGTAGCAGGGCTGAAGAAGAGATTAGCCAAAAAGGTGAAGGTCAGAAACTGCAATTTTGACAAAAGGTGTCTTTCACTCACCTATCATGAAAGGTGATTCAAATCCAAGTCCGAAGCTGCTGATGCTTATGGCATACAGGTTAATAATTAGCTGTTCAGTAGAGCTAGCTGCGTATGAAGCTCAGCTTGCTACCTCAGAAGTGCTGGTAGAGATTCACGATGGCAAAGTGCAAATTCAGGAAATGCGGCATGAATGTATGTTGGGGGTTGACGGCGGAGCACCCATTGAGGGTGGTCTGCAGTCTTCTTCCAACACAGAAGTATTATGAATCAGGTGAAGGAGTCACTGCACTTGTCTTGGAGAGTATGGAAGCCCCAACATTGTCAGTATGTGCCGGTTAAATGCACTGTGGCCCAGATGCACGAAGGCACCCTGTCGTGGGACGGCGGCGCGCATCATGGATGGTATTTTGCTTAGTGTGGTTATTTCACGTAAGAGGATGAACTGCAAGTTGTAAGAAATGGAGCAGCAAGATAAGGTCTGCGTTCTCATGCTCTACAATGCCGGCAGACGGTCAAAGATACCCTACCGTTTGGAACCGCAGTTGACGACGTACAGAAACCAATACGTAGGGCAACCTGCAAAACCAGTCTGCTTTCTCTGCATGTGACTTGCTTCAGATGTATCTTGATTTCCCATTGAAAGCTTATTGACACATTCAGGTCATATTTGTTGATGTTAGACCCTATTTTACTGACTTGTAAAATTTTGTACACACTTTTCTGGGTGAAAAAATGCATGCAAAGCAACACCACCACCATCCATGCTGCCAAGCTAACTGCAGCAGCAGCAACCAGGAGAGCCGCTCGAGACCAAGCCAGTCAGCTCTTGGCCACATGTGATGCGCCCACCCAGCGAACCCTGGGGATGGCGGCCGAGAAAGGAGCGTCCAACTGGCTCACTTGCCGGCCCCTGAAGCAGTTCGGGTTTGTCCTCCACAAAGGCGCCTTCAGAGACGCACTCTGTCTGCGGTTCGGCTGGGTCCCTCCCCGCCTGCCATCCACTTGTGTGTGTGGCAAGGCATTTAACACCAGCCATGCTCTTTCGTGCCCAACTGGTGGATACCCGGCTCTCCGCCATAACACGATCCGCGACCTGACAGCCGACCTACTGCGTGAAGTGGCAACGGATGTGAAGATAGAACCTCCTCTGCAGCCCCTGGAGGGTGAAAGGCTCCGGTATCGCTCTGCCATCTTGGAAGATGGTGCTCGTCTTGATGTGGCGGCATCTGGTGTCTGGGGAAGTCGTTTTGAGCGCACGTTCTGTGATGTTCGGGTTTTTAACCCTCATGCGCGCTCGAACACTTCCTCAACTCCCGCGTCCACCTATGCCAAGCACGAACAGCAGAAGAGAAGGGCCTACGAAGAACGCGTCAGGGAGGTGGAGCATGCTTCCTTTCTCCCACTGGTATTCAGTGCATCTGGTGGGTGCGGCAAGGTAGCCCACGCTTTCCTGAAGCGTCTTGGCCATATGGTTTCGGAGAAGCGGCATGAACCCTACTCCTCCGTCATGTCCTGGATCCGCTCTCTTGTCTCCTTTGCTTTGGTTCGATCCTGCAACATGAGCCTCCGTGGTCACCGTGCTTCTCCCTACCGCAGTCGTTTGGATGCTGCCACTCCTGTTGTGCTGGCAGTCAACGACTGTCAGTTGCGTGACTGAGACTCTTGCGGAGTAGCCGTGTCTAGCCACACTTTTTATTATCCGATGATCTTGTTTTGTTTGCTATGACTCCGTGATTTTCTGTTGGTTGCTTTTCTGCTGTGCGAATAAATGCAGTGTCGACAAAAAAAAAAAAAAAAAAAAAAAAAAAAGTGAAATACCGAGAAAAAAAAAGCAACCCCACACTGTGTCTCTCATGTTTGTGGTGTTCGATCAAGAAGTCCATACGTGGATAGAGGACATACATAGTGACAGAATGAGACCATGCACACTTCAAAACTCGCCAGGGCAACGGAATGATAGCCTTCTTTACTTTCATGTAAAATTATTACAAATCACCTCGTACACAGAGCTGGATCGGCGTTGCACACTCTGGGGGGTTATGTACTCTTGGTAGTACTGTACTCACACAGTCTCTGGTCCACTGTCCGGTAGCTAGAAGTGGGAACCGGCTAGGGGTGTGCGAATAATGCTCGAAAAGGTGGCAGATTCTGCTCGAAAAGCAGTGAAATTGGCAGAACCATACAAACCTTATGGCGGGCAATTCCTCCAATTCTGCTCCATTTCTTTATCCACATACCAAACATGCATAAAACTTACCAGAAAAGTACCGAATTCTGCCAATTTTTCTGCCGGCATTATTCGCATAATTATGGCTAGCACCGGCAGGGAAATGGATGCGCGTTGTTTGATGGAGTTGCGGACAAGTGCTGGTCAGTTTGGGCCAGACTTCCGGACATGTCTCACCTACAACTTAGAGTTATTTAGAAAAACGTACACTCAATCTGCGGACAGCATGCTGTTTCGTTCTTTTTGAACTCATCAGCGCAGCACAGAGAAAAACGTACACAAAAATACAGAAAAACGTACACAAAAAGTGGAAACAGAACAGAAACTGCCAGTGTCAGTCACAGTGATCAGGTGACTGTAGCCTTGAAAGAAGTACAATGACTTATTATGTACAATGTCATGTACTACTCTCTAGATAGGGGAGCTCGGCCTATGTCGGGTAGGATTTGCAGGTAGAGTCGACGAGATACATGACTGATTGTAGTCTTGTTGTAGATCTACTGAGCACTGACTGACTCTAGCTCTGTGAGAGTCGTACTCGAGTCGTAGTGACAGATACTGAGTTTAGTATCACGACTGTAGATCATGATGTGACAGATCTGGCAACTGCTATGCGATATGTACATCACCACTAATCTTCATACAAAACGGTAGTCAAATTATCTCTACTTGGGCGGTGTTTACATGAGGCGTTTCAACCCGGGTTGAGTTCGACCCGGGTCAGATTTCAACCCGCCATGTGCACAAAGTGAATGGCGCGTTTACATGACGCATTGCGCTTGACCCGGGTTGAAATTTCGCCCCGGGTTGATTTCAACCCTCCCCCCCCCCCCCCAAGGGGAGGGTTGAAACCAACCCGGGTCAAGAAAATCGTACAAACGTACTTCTGTGCGTATCTCGCGCCAGGTTTGAGCAGCACTGCACTGCAGATGCAAATTTCGCGCGAACGGTTTCACGTGACCATGCAGGACTGTAGAAGTGGACTTTTGGCGGCATATCAGTATTTGACCCGGGTCAACTGTCTTCATGTAAACGCTCACCTCTTTTGTCTATCGTACAGACTTTCAACCCGGGCTGAACTCGACCCGGGTTGAAATTTCTCATGTAAACACCAGGGAGTAGTACAATATTGTACTACTCCCTGGTAAACACAGCCTAGGAGACTCTAGTACTAGTAGTAGTAGTACTACTTCGGAAAATATTTCCATTGCACACCGTACATATTAAACAGCCTGTTATAATTATGGACGGTGTGCATGTGCAATGGAGATATTTTCTGATGTGAAAACTACGCTGCAATGGAGTCTGCAGAGTTTTACGGAAACACTAGTAGTACTAGTACTAGCAAGAGTACATAACCCAGGGTTATGTACTCTTGCTAGTACTACCGGTACTACCAAGAGTACATAACCCTGGGTTATGTACTCTTGCCGTCTTGGTAGTACCGGTAGTACTACATGTAGTACTACTGTCACATTTATTTAGTATTGTCTGATACGGTCCGTCCTTAATATTCTTTTAGGGGCCGTCCGTAATTATCGAACGTTTTTCACCAAACGAATTATTTTAGTTTAGACCCAACCCCTCCCTCCCTCCCCCTCAGAACGTAAAAAAAGTTTGACATATGCATGCATAATACAACAAAAGTTGCAAGTGTGTAACTGCTCCTAGGCTATGGGCATGCACAAGTATCAATGTTTTCTGAAACGAAATTGGTCAACCCCCTCCCACCCCATAACGAAATTATTTCGTTTTGTGAAAAAAGTTCGATAATTATGGACGACCGGACCGGTCGACCCCTTATTTAATATTAATATCATGACATGAACTAGCGCTAGCAGGCCTATCTACCGATCGCGATACGTAGATCTACCAGTAACCTGGTAACCAGATCTACTGAGCATGCAGTGAGTACAGACTGTCACTATGTTTACATGTTCAGTGCTGTGCAGATAATGATTATGTACTCCGGGATCTACTGCCAGTACTGGCTACTCGTACTCAGCTCAATCGCTCACGCTTTGTAGGCAAATAGAAAACTATCCGTACACGATTGTCGACGACGGCCGACCGATCTCGTCCACTCTGTTGAACTAATAATTACTTGTCTCTACGCGCCGTGGACGTCCACCGTGACTTTGCCAGCCAAGCCAGGCAGGGGCAGCCTAGCCTTTTTGTGTTGTTGTTGCGTCGGAGATTAGACCACGCCATTCGCACCCGGACCGCGACAAGTGGTTGATAAAGCGCTCTTGAGTCTTGCGTGGTGGACACAGCGTGCCTAGCTAATAAGCTAAGTGCAAGCGGATCGGAATGGAGCCGCGAAAAGCCTGGACACCCAACAGCCGCTCGGCCACGCTGCCGCTCCGCCTGTCCGCATCCAGTCCCAGCTTGAACCTGTTCCCGGGCAGTGCACTGCGAACTCCGACGACGCCGAGCAGCGCAGGTGCCATGTCCGTGAGCTCAATCACGTCCCCCACTACACCGATCAGTGAGACCAAGGAATTGGACACGGAGAGTCTTCAAGGCGTCTCCGTTCGCCACTACAGCGAGTCCAGAGTAAGTTAGCAGACAATGGCATCATGAACCAGTAGATTGGTAGATGGTTGGCCGAGCAGAGACTGCCGGAAGAGCTCAAACATACGTTGTAATAATGCTCTCCTGCGATAATTGTGGACATAATACTAGTATTGGGGAAATCCAGCGTAATGACCGCGGGGGCCAGCACCTTAGGTGGATGTGTAGGTCTGAATTATCACTGTGTATCACACAGGGTAGAGAGCTCGTACAACAAACCGAGACTGGTCAAGCTGCCCCTGCCTCTCCCCCACTCCTGCCATTCCATAATTATGTCTCATCGCTGCCTTGCTGCTTTGTGCCGTCAAATGGTGTGGTGTTTTGTAAACAAAACAAAAAAACAAACAACAACACCTAAACCCCTAAACGGCGATTATGAAGCAGATGTACATTGCTGCCCAATGAAATCCAGTCGCGTCGCCGGGCGTTGCGTAGCCTAGGCGGGGGCGTAGGAGGGGTTTTGGAAGTGGTACGACCGAAGGTCGGTGCGGCCGAAGGGCGTGTTGGAGGGGGTCGGAGGACCTCTCCCGGGAAAATTTTGTAAAAAAGACACAAAATCCTGCGTTCTGGGAACTTCTGGCACACTTCTGGCGCAGCAGTGCAGTGTGCAGTCGAGTCGCGTACAGTACGACTGCAGATATGCAGCATGGCAGATCTACGAGTACGAGTCTAGAAAAAGGTCAAAGTCTGATGCGCATATGCATCGATGGATCCTGATTTTTTTATTACGGTTTTGCACGTTTCGGACGGACCACACTTTTCGAAAAGTGGTACGGCCATGGTCGTACCAGTCGTAGCGGGTGCTACGCCCCTACTAGACCTGCGAACACCGGGCTGCGAAATGGTGCCAGGCGCAAATGTCAGCGGCCAGTGTCTGCTCCAGAGCCGGGTCAGCGACCCGGTTATGGGGTACGTGGACCCGTTTGGAAAAAAGAACGCCGGGTCACCTGTGACCCGGCGTTGGGAATACTATACATGCACATCAGGGAGTCCTAAAATATTTACAACTGCCTGGTCATAGGCTGCGGATGTACGCACAGTAGCCGCACTTGACCGTACCCGGCTCTGACCCGGCTCTGACCCGGCTCTGACCCGGCTCTGACCCGGCTCTGACCCGGCTCTGACCCGGCTCTGACCCGGCGGCAATGGTTGTGCCAGGTACGCGTGTACCCGGTTGGTTTGAAGTCCTAGCGCAGACACTGGTGACCCCCGCCTGGATTTCATTGAGTAGCACTGTATGAATAATACCCCGTCGGCTGAGATATTTAAATGTTCCATTGTGCGGGCCAAATACCATGTAGATGCAAAAGGGTGATGCGTGTGGATGGTTCGAAATTCTGAAGTGCCGCCACAACACATACTGTAAGACATGTTATTATAACGAGTTGCAAATTTAACGATTGTCCAAAATTCATAGGTTAACGAGAAGATATGTTAACGATCTTGCAGTATTCTGCCACATCCACACACAGCATATATGAAGCAGTAAGGCCTCAACGGATCTTATTATAACGAAGAAATGTCATCCGTTAAAACGTTAGATTTGCTTCCTCGTTATATATACATGTCTTACAGTAGTATCTTCTTCGGAACTTCGAATCATCCACAGGCATCACCTGATCAAGTCACAACCTACACAAGACTTTCCGATTAGTGGCAGACAACCGGCTACTACAATTAGTTATCACGGGAAATGGCTCTGTTGCGAATGCGCCAATACCATTCATGCAATGACGTGGTATGCTAAATCAATCGTTCAGGGTTGTCTGATGATCGCCTTGTCGCGAAACTTGGGCTGCATTCGATTGTGGAAACTGGATCCCGATCCCCGCCGATCAGATCACTTCGATCGGACAGATACAATCGAATGTGCACAACCGATATCATAATCCGTTTAAAGGCCTTAGCAACCGCGTTGCTACAGCTCATCCCGTAGTATCTGTACGCGTTGTGGTGAATTCTTGACCTAGTGTACGCATATTGGGAGTTTTGAGTAGATACGAGTCGTACCATGGAAATGAATTCGTCGAATCCGTCTCTGGGAGGTGGGTTGACTGGATCCGAATCTGTGCTCTCGGGATCCGGATTCGTACAATCGAACATGTACGAATTTGGCGAACCCGGGTCCGGGGCTGATGGACTCGTACAATCGAACATGCCCTTGGAGTCACAACACAATGTTTAATATAGTGCGTTTCAAAAGTATCAAGCTTTTACACGGAACGAAAAAGTTTCGTTTATGTGGGTGGGTGGGTGGGTCGAAGAAAGTTTCGTTATGAAAAATATTGGTAGCTGAAACATCAATCCATTCTAGCCGTCGAGTCAATTATATTTTTCGTTCAGGGGGTGAGTGGGTAGGGGAGGATCATAACTAAACTTTTTCGTTTCGTAAAAAAAATATCGATAATGCCGGGTGGCTCGTTAGTCCTCTTCCTCTTGTTAGTAGCTCTGCCCTCGAGCATGGACCACTCTATTGGACAGCCTGCAACCTTTCTGTTTTATTCATCAGTCGAGGGTGTTGAAGAGTGAGGTGGTCTGAAGAACAAGTTGACTTGCACGCCACATTTTGTTGCATATTCTGTATTGCATCATAGCTGTTGTTCGATGACCTCCTACAGTGCTGCCGGGTGCCTAGCAACTGGGGGATCAGCCTTGTAGCCTAGACCGTTCCTATTTTCATGTACGGTCAGACCTCGCTTAACCGCACACATCCGTTTTCCACAAGAAATACCCGGATAGGCGAGGGAACCGAATAATCGAACACACATACTGTATGTATGCATGACATATTATGCTGTAAATCTGTAACCAACGGTTTTCTTCTGGATGGCGAGGGATCCGGATAAAAGAGGACCGGATAAGCGAGGTCTGACTTTACTACAGTCTATGCACTCCTGTATTGTATTTGTATTGTTTTATTTGAATTCGGCATCTCAACAATACAATGTACAACTTGGGATGATCCGAATGACAATATACATCAACATAAAAGTGGGATGTGAATGTACTGTTGTAGGCCCTACAGCTAATCATACTGCTGAGTCGTCGTGTATATGTTCGTAGGCTGTGCTTGGTGAAATTCTCCCCCTTTCGTTCTTAGGCACTACGTTCCTCGGCACCCGGTTGAGTACTGCAGTGCCAGTGACACTCGGAGTCACAGCGAATTTGTCATGCTCTTCTTCTTGCTATGTTCTGTGATGTGCTGCTGTCATGGGAACTAGACTCCTCGCCGTGGCAACTCGCGTGTCCTCAGCACCGTCTCACTGCGCCGCTCCAACAGCACCGGGTCACGGCTCAGCGTTGACGAGGACGATTCGTCCACCGCAGACACCACCAAGTATGGCGCTTGCTCGTTTGGCGAGCAGCTGCGTCCCATGGAGGTGTGCATTCCAAAGCAGCAGGATCTGGCAAGTCCTATGTCACCGCGGCATGACACTCTGCCGAAATCGGAAGGTAACCGAGTTGTACACATGTGCACATACATACACACACACGTACACACCTGTGTGCACGCACACGCACACACACACATACACATACACACACGCACACACACACACACACGCATACACACACCTACGGCAATAGGAGTGTCAGCAACAAGGATCCTGGCTTGTTTTGAATGAACTCATGTCTGCCTGTCTGTCCGTCTCTCTCTCTTTCTCTCTGGGGGTAGTGGGATAATTTTATATTTCTCTCCCATTCGCTTTTAAAATCGTGCAACTGCCTCTGCTGCTGCTGTCCCTAGGTGTTGGCAGAGCGCCGCGGCGGCAGATCAGCCTCGCACGCATCGTGGACGTGTCTGAGAGCACGCGTAGCCGCACGGAGAGCGAGGAGCTCTGGGGCGTCAAGGTGCGCCACTACGTCGAGCACTTTGAGAGCACAACGTTCATGACCGTCCAGGTGCAGGACCTGCTGGAGGGCGGCGCGGCGGAGGTAGGTTCACTCAGTGACTATTACCCCCTCCCCCCCCCCCTCTCTCGCCAACCACCGCACTCTCTCCCCAACCACCGCTCTCTCTCCCCCTCCCCCTCTCTCTCCCCCTCCCCCTCTCTCTCCCCCTCCCCCTCTCTCTCCCCCTCCCCCTCTCTCCCCAACCACCGCTCTCTCCCCCTCCCCCTCTCTCGCCAACCACCGCTCTCTCTCTCTCCCCAACCACCGCTCTCTCTCCCCCTCCCCCTCTCTCTCCCCCTCCCCCTCTCTCTCCCCCTCCCCCTCTCTCCCCAACCACCGCTCTCTCCCCCTCCCCCTCTCTCCCCAACCACCGCTCTCTCTCCCCCTCCCCCTCTCTCCCCAACCACCGCTCTCTCCCCCTCCTGCTCTCTCCCCAACCACCGCTCTCTCCCCCTCCCCCTCTCTCCCCAACCACCGCACTCTCTCCCCCTCCCCCTCTCTCCCCAACCACCGCTCTCTCTCCCCCTCCCCCTCTCTCCCCAACCACTGTTCTCTCTCCCCCCTCCCTCTCTCTCCCCAACCACCGCTCTCTCCCCCTCCCCCTCTCTCCCCAACCACCGCTCTCTCTCCCCCTCCCCCTCTCTCCCCAACCACCGCTCTCTCTCCCCCTCCCCCTCTCTCCCCAACCACCGCTCTCTCTCCCCCTCCCCCTCTCTCGATCCCCAACCACCGCTCTCTCTCCCCCTCCCCCTCTCTCCCCAACCACCGCTCTCTCTCCCCCCCCCCTCCCCCTCTCTCCCCAACCACCGCTCTCTCTCCCCCTCCCCCTCTCTCCCCAACCACCGCTCTCTCTCCCCCTCCCCCTCTCTCCCCAACCACCGCTCTCTCTCCCCAACCACCGCTCTCTCTCCCCCTCCCCTCTCTCCCCAACCACCGCTCTCTCCCCTCCCCTCTCTCCCCATCCACCGCTCTCTCTCCCCAACCACCGCTCTCCCCCTCCCCCTCTCTCCCCAACCACCGCTCTCTCCCCCTCCCCCTCTCTCCCCAACCACCACTCTCTCTCCCCCTCCCCCTCTCTCCCCAACCACCGCTCTCTCTCCCCAACCACCGCTCTCTCTCCCCCTCTCCCTCTCTCGATCCCCAACCACCGCTCTCTCTCCCCCTCCCCCTCTCTCCCCAACCACCGCTCTCTCTCCCCAACCACCGCTCTCTCCCCTCCCCTCTCTCCCCAACCACCGCTCTCTCTCCCCAACCACCGCTCTCTCCCCCTCCCCCTCTCTCCCCAACCACCGCTCTCTCCCCCTCCCCCTCTCTCCCCAACCACCGCTCTCTCCCCCTCCCCCTCTCTCCCCAACCACCGCTCTCTCTCCCCAACCACCGCTCTCTCCCCTCCCCTCTCTCCCCAACCACCGCTCTCTCTCCCCAACCACCGCTCTCTCCCCCTCCCCCTCTCTCCCCAACCACCGCTCTCTCCCCCTCCCCCTCTCTCCCCAACCACCGCTCTCTCCCCCTCCCCCTCTCTCCCCAACCACCGCTCTCTCCCCCTTCCCCTCTCTCCCCAACCACCGCTCTCTCTCCCCAACCACCGCTCTCTCCCCCTCCCCCTCTCTCCCCAACCACCGCTCTCTCTCCCCCTCCTCCTCTCAGGTACTTGTAGATCAATCCGTCCCTGCTCGTAACAAACGTGAATGCAAACGGGCAAAGGGCGAACTTTAGCCATCTCTTGAACCATGACTGAGTCAGACTGGGTTGTTCTGCTGATGCGGAATTTTAGCCACCGCCGCCACCATCATCATCACCACAACAACCACAACAACAACAACAACAACAACAGCAACAACAACAACAACTGTCAGGAAAGTTGAGGTGGTGTTTAAGAGTTGAGAAAATGGCTACAATTGAGCATGCATATCTTGAAGAAGGTCGAACTGTAAAGCCTTCGTTCTCGAAAATATGTACATGTTCTTCAAGGTTGCACCGTAAGATTCACAACCAATTTGCTTAGTCTGGAAACCAACCAAAGGCTGGCCATGAAACCAAACCTACAGCATGTTGCTCTTATTAAACAGAAATGGCTTTGGGTCTATTGTCCATGCGTTTCTCCCTGGACTTCAGTATTTCTTACTCTCATGAAATAGTATTCATTCTTAGTGGTAACCGGAGGTTTTTCCCCTGGTGTGGAGGCAGAATTGCCTGTGCTCTAAACGAATTCAAATAGAAGAACGGATTCAAATACACGAACTTGCTTGCACAACAGAGTCGCCAATCATTCTCTGCTTTTTCCCAGTGCTTATCTGTGTTGCTGATTGCATTAGTTTGTATGTGTGTGTGTGTGTGTTTTGTCATGTTGTCATGTTGTCGCGCAGAAACAAGGCATCCAGAAAAATGATCAGGTAAGTGCCAGGTGCTGCTGTCTTTCTGACTTGCTGTCTTTCTGTCTTGCTGTCTTTCTGTCTTGCTATTTTACTGTCTTTCTGTCTTCCTTGCAATGGTGTTGACGAGTGGCCTGCCTGGTGTGTTCGAAGCGGACGGAGTGCATGAACCATGCATTCAGCAGCCTCGTGCTATTACAGGGGGCGGCGAAGCAGGTCCGGTTGGTCGGCGCATGACCGGAAAAAACTGTTTGACGACCAACGCTTGTTTACTGCTGTGTTGTTTGCTTGCTAACGTGACATCAGGCTGCCCTTGTGTGCTGTTCCTTGGTACCCTCGTGTGTGTGTGTGCATATGGTGCAGTGGTATGTGCGGCGATTTCCAATTGAGAGGTTGCGGGTTCAATTCCCGACGATTATAGTCACACACACACACACACACACACACACACACACACACACACACACACACACACACACACACACACACACACACACACATGTCTTTCTTCTCTTTCTCAGACTCCTCCTGACTTTTCTTTCATCCTCCTGGGTGGTTACCAACAGCCAGTGCATGCCAGAGTATGTGGTGTGATGTGTGTGCGGGAACAAAATGAAAAAAAGGCCCAAAAGTAGGGATTCACTGGCCAGAAAAAGCCACTTCATAGCTGTATGGTGTAGACCAGGCTGAATAGTGGCGGTCAATTCTTCAGCCTTGCAAGCTGTTGAGTGGTGCAATCCCAGCACAAGTTGCTATGGCTTCTACTGTAGCATTGTTGCAAAAGAAGGATCCACGAGGGGGATTCGAACCCAGCACCCCTGTCTTTCCGGGGCAGTGCCCTACCGATTAGGCTACCGGGGATTACACACACTCTCATGGGTCCTTCTTGCTACAGCATGATGCCATCACTATCATCGCCTCCGGCGATGGGCGTCAAATGGTGTTCATATGGTCAGTTGCTGTCTGATGATCGGTTAAAACCGTGAAACTCAGAGTTGCAGCAGAAACGCTATTCATTCCTCTCAAGCGTGTGGTCATGTGATCATGTGTTTGTGTGGTCATGTGTTTATGTCTAGGTGCTGTCCATCAATGGTAACTTGGTGAAAGGTATGTCCAGTGAGGAGGTGGTACGCGAGATGTCCAGCAGTGAACATGAGTCCTTGTGTTTGATCATACTACCACACAAGCAGACCAAGGTAATGTACTGGTTCTGTATAGACAGACATTTTTTAAACGTCTTTGTTTTTTTGACATTAAAGACATAGTATGTTGGAGATCAGCCTTGATCCTTGAAGGGTGGTGGCGTTCCTACAGGTGCCGAAAACTCGTGCCTCTAGCCGAGTCTTACGCGAACCGTGAATTTTTTTATGTTGGAGATCTGCCACCCATGTACACTCGGTGTAGCTTCTGCCTTTTCTGCGGGTCACACTTCCCCTTCATGGCCAATATGCACAATGACATAATTTGTACCGCGAACACCCCACACAGTCACCTGGGCATGGTCGTGTGGATCCATGGAGTGTTGAACAGTGCATTGCTGATCCCAGTGTACTCACATGCATTACTCATACCTTCCATATTTGGCAATGCGCAATGGGCTTATATGCACTGCAGATGTGCTGCGATTTTTCACACGTCGTTCCTCTCTGCATGCTCTGTTGGGTGTTGGTCTGCAGATCAGCAACGTACAGATCTTCTCGCCGAGCCGTGCCTCGTTGGACATCTTGTGGTGCGTGCGCAATCAGCTGACAACGCTGACCCTCTGGTAAGGCCGCGTGATTGTCTGTGTATGCTCTGCTCATCCGCACAGGCTTTGTGCACGTTGTTTCTCATCCGCACAAGCTATATGATTATGATTGTCTGTGTACACTCTTGCCCATCCGCAAAAGCTATGTGCATGTATGTATGCACTCTCGCTCATCCGCACAGGCTGCGTGAATGCCTGTGCGCACTCTCGTTAATCCACGAAGGGCTATGAATCTGTAGGTAGACAGACTTGTTGTGATCTTTCACTAGTACAGTGGAACGCTGCTGAGACGTACCCTCCCCCCATGGGCAACAGGAACGTGTACTTGGTATCCGAGGTACTACTTGTACTTCTTATCTTAACATCCATGTACATGTACTTCAGTGTTGATCGATACACCCATGCTCCGGACCATGCCTGTACTGGATAGTTCTCTGGAAAAATTATTTAGTGTCCAGTGAATCCCGTCTTTGCTGACTACACGCTATGACAGTGTGGCAAGATCACCGTGAGGTGGAGAGCGTGTGGGCGGTGTGGCGATTGAGGTGGGACAACCATTTGCGAGACTTCATCCTTGCAATGTTGCTGTTTTATTTTACTTCACCAATTGCACAGGCACTGTTGCCTTCTCACCGTCCAGAAGGTCTGATATAGTGTTTCCTTGCTTCTTATCTTTCATTGTGTGTCTTCTCTCCATTTGTCACTGCCAGGGACATCGATCTCAGCAGCCGAGCGCGGAAAGTCACCACAGTGGACTTGTCACGCCTCATGCTGATCAGCAACCTGGCCGTGTGCAACTGTCGGCTGGAGTCTCTTGAGGTTATTGGAGGTATGTACTGCTAGCGCTGCTTTCTTCTCGTCTTCCCGAGCTGTCTTTGGCTATGAGTATCCATTCTGAAAACAAAATTTATGAATCGCTTGGCTGGACCTGTGCTTGTAGCTTATAGTATGGGCGTCAAGCTTATGCCGAACTGTCCGTCTATCTGTCTGTCCGTCTGTCTGTCCATCCGTCTGTCTGTCTGTCCGTCTGTCTGTCTGTCTCTCCGTCTGCTCACTTGTCTTTTGTTCATCGCCCGTAGGATTGCGGCGGCTGCAGTTCCTGTCGCACGCACGCTTCACCAACAACCGGCTGACAGCCGGGGCGCTGGGCAACACTTGTCCCCTCGCCAGCATTCCCAGCATCAAGGCTCTCATTCTCAACCGCAATCACATCAAGGACTTCCCGGTGTGCGTTTACAAGCTACCCCTGTAAGTCCATTGCTTCCACCAAGGCCCTGGTAAAACCTACCGTCACCTGCCGGACTCGTCTGAGTCACAAGGCTGAAACTGCTGAACAGCTGAGCTGATCAGCCTGGGACTTTCCCCATTGGGATCAGTGTTGTTTCACTAGTAGGGGCTGTGAAGTTTAATCTTTAGAGTGACCTCCGCTGTAAGTCTAGTGCTTCCACCAAGACCTGGGTAAAACCCACACCTGCCGGACTTGTCTCGGACACAAGGCTGTAACTGCTGAACAGCTGAGCTGATCAGCCTAGGACTTTCAGGGGCGGATCCAGGGGGGGGGGGGGGTCCAGGGGTTCCGCTGAACCGCCTACGTTTCACTAATGTGCTACTGGAAACCATTTGAATGTGCATATACATGTATCGGCTAGTCAGTTTTGGCTAATCTGGAATCCCCTCGTAAGGATCGCTGGATCTGCCGCTGACTTTCTCCATTCGGGTCAGTGTTGTTTCACTACTGGATGTGAAGTTTAAACTTTAGAGTGACCTTCCCCTTCCGGAAGATTTAAAGACCTGGTCCGTTGTCTTAGAGACTTGACTAACGTTTTGGATACTGTGTTACACCTGTGTTTTGTCTTTGTTTTTTCATCTGTTCACACGCATGCATATAGGCTGGAGCATGTCAGCTTGGCGTACAATCAGCTGAGAGAGGTGCCGCGGACGCTCAGTGCACTGGAGAACCTGAAACAGCTGAAGTAAGCAAAAAGGACACCGGGAACTCTCACCCGCCACTCGCTTGTCGTGAGCAGTCACAAACGTGACAAACGTGACATTGCTGTCCTGCTTTCCGAGCCAGCAGGCAATGTCCTGGAAACTGCCTGGACAGATTCTTGAGTTTCGAGACTTACGAGCAACTATCCTTTAACTAGAGTTTACTAAGCTACAGCAGAGTCGCGCACCCAAGAACGTTGTTTCCAAGGGGTTGGCCTGGCACGTTCCTATTTTTCAAATGTCTGGCTGTGTTCTTATAGGACGTTCTTAGAAACAATCCGTACTGGATCATTACGTGTCCTACAAGCTGCCGGAAAACGGATACTGCCGTTCTCAATTTTAGGCTGTTGTGTTCTTAGTATTTCAGGCTGGATGTTCTTGGGCTCCACGTTCTTCACCGCGCGACTCTACTGTAGGTGAACACTTGGGCACATGATGGCTTATGCTTCCAGTCACACTTCGTATTTCCGGATTAAAATGCCCCTCCTCTCCTGGCCAAATTTGATCCCAGGCTATCTTCTCTATCCCCCTTTTCTCGTGTCTCCATTTCTCTCGCTCGCACTACCTTTCTCAATCTCTCTGTCTCTGCCTCTGTATCTGTCTCTGTCTCTCTCTCGCTGTCTCTGTCTCTGGCTCTCTCTCTCTCTCTCTCTCTCTCTCTCTCTCTCTCTCTCTCTCTCCTCTCCTCTCCTCTCTGTCTCTCCATACAGTCTGGATGGCAATGCACTAGTGGAAATGGACACGACGCTACTAGG